CATAGAGATTCGAACACAGGACCTTTGATGTCGTGTGCGACCGATTAACCTGTAGACCATTGAGTCATCATCTGAAGGTGTTCATGTCTAAGCCACGATATTGTACAACTGTCCCCCATTACCTTCAGTGAGTAACTGCCTCACAGAAGACATGGATCAACTCCATTGGTCACAGCTTCTCACAAGAACTTGAGGAAATGCATCTTGAAGTCATGATGTTTATTATCAGAATGGCGGCTTGTGGAGATTGTAGTAATTTATATTCCATACTTCAGAAATAATAATACTGTACAATACAGATGAACAATATATATAACAGACGGTAGGATGTACCACTCGTTATTCGTATCTTCAAACAATGTACAATATTGGATGATACATGTAATCTGATTGTATGTATATGATAGATGTTTCCTGGTATATTAAAACTTTATTCTTAATATTATGTAGAAACCTGACAATTGAGAAGCTTTACATAGTTTCTTATTTTTTTGTGTGGATTAGTATGTTATTTCTACCTTCCTTATACACATATGAATAATGTATAAAGAACATCAATAATGAGTTAGGATAAACTCAATTGTTCACCGCAATTTTCACCTTGAATATATATTAACCAATCAAAAATGAAGCGGCAATTATTATTTAAATGAGTGTAATCGATGATGGAGGATTTGTTTTGTTCTCTATTGTTTTTACTGGATTATATGAAAAATGTCAAGTTTCGTACAACCCAATTGTCATTTCATCTTGCTATGAATCTGTTAAATGTAGTATAGTTTAGTCATGATAAAACTACAACATACCAAAAGACATACCTAGAAGTAATTCTATACCGATAATATTTACAATTGACTGACTAGATAAGTGGAAATGTAAATGTAACCAATGACTACAATACAATGAGAAACCGTTACCAGTGGAGTCTAACCGGTCTGTTGTGAGATAACAACTCACTGAAGTCAATGGTGAAAGGTGGCGCAACTTCGTGGATTGGTTGAAGTTAGACATTAACACTGTTGGATGCCGGCTCAGTGGTCTAGTAGTTAAATGCTCGCGCACGAAGCCAGTAGGTCCTGGGTTCGAGCCCCGCGTGGTGCGGGATCGTGGATGCGCACTGCTGAGATGACCCATAGTAAGACGAAACGGCCGTCCAGTGCTTCCAGGTTTTCAATGGTGGTCTAGTTTCAACTGATTCATGATTTCAACTTGTGAGACTACAATACACTTAGATGATTTATAAATGTGCAATATACAGTCCAAGTTTCAATAATGATCATACAATTTCTTTATTTTAGAGGCTGGTTTTTCAGTTAGAAACTGATGAACATCATCTGATTATCATGGACATATCATCATGTGTTTTATCTTACGTTTTCGTTTACCTAATTGCTTATTCTTATATTGTTGAATTGTATTTCTAACATTAAGTATATTATGCATAAATATGTATTTCATTATAGTCCAGTTTACCATTTCATTCTTAGTGCATGTTGAATAGAGACTGAAAGAAGATAAGGGGGATTTCGTTCTGTACAAAGCTCAGTGATTGAATTTAAGGATGGTTTGAACATCTAATTGGCTTGATCATCAGTGACAAGTTTCTTTCAAGGCAAGAATGATAAGCTAAATTAAATAGGATCATAAATATTTATGTACTGAATGATTGTTCATATGATAGATGCTGTTTCAAATCATGTGATGATGAGGAGTCATTTGCAGTAGATTTTCATCAAGTTACTGGATAAAAATCAATAATCCTAAGACTATGATCATGATCAAATCAGTATATCTGGCTAATGAGTATAAATCCATCCAGTTCATGTACGTCTAGAAGGAATGGAATGGATTATTGTGTACATCTCAATATAATGATGTTAAGTGTGCTTTGATTGAATGTGTCGAATTGCCTGATTCTTTGTCTTTGAGGATTCTCGGACAGGCATGTTGGCAATTTGTTGTAGGATTAAAAAACTACTTTATAGTAATCTTAATACAATTGTGAACGTATGGTTTCATAGTACTTAGCAGTCGAGTTTATGGAATGAATTCAATAAATCAGTCATCTGTGCAAAATTCTTATTTATAATGAAACTGTAGTGAACGAGAACACAAAGTGGGGACAATCGAGTGTATTTGAACGCTAAACTACAGTATCACTTTGTATAATCTGAGAACCATACAATGAGTCACTCATCTCACACTTCATTGTTCCTTCATTTCCACAACAATCATTTATTGTTCTCATTCTATTTTCTTTGGTGTGGTTAACATTCCACCGTCAGGCATCTAACTTTCGATTAGTGATACATATTACTTATATCTGTCGACATCAGTAGCACATCACAAAATCATTCATGCCAATTTGAATAATGATTGTTGTAAAACGCATTAGGCAAACATTGAAATGGTGTTCATTGTAATTTTTATGCGAAATATTGCATGACAATTTAGTACTGATATGATAATATTGTCGATGAGGCTATCGATTTATTAAGCTGCGATGAGTTCGTTCATCCAAAGTATGGAGTGCGGAAGGTTATTCACATTGACGTAGTTTACCGGCTTAGGTTCGTCGTCTGGCTCATGATTGGATCGTATGAATTGTTGCTGTCAAAATATACAAACCACTGACCCTTGCATACAATCATTGACTTAAATCGCATTAGTGAATAACAGAATTAAAACTACGTCACATATGAGAATATATTACGAATACATGTATTTCATACAATCAATGATCTAGACAGACAATCATTGAAAAATGTTTGAAACATTCTCATCTTAAACAGTTTTCTACAGAATCGATATCGCATACTACTCCAAACAACTCCGCCTCTAGCTCTTAGCATACGCATGAACAAATGAAGATAAAAACAACCACTATGACAGCAGTCTCTGCATCGCCAGGCTTCAGCATACACAATGAGAAAACCAAGGTCCTCAAAGTGAAAACGGAGAACAGCAATCCAATCACTATTGATGGAAAAACTCTGGAAGATGTAGAATCCTTTACATACCTGGGAATTATCATCGATGAACAAGAAGGTTCAGATGCAGACGTAAAGGATGGGATTGGAAATTCAAGGACAGCATTCACACAATTGAAGAACATATGGAACTCAAAACAACTTTCAACCTATATCAAAGTGAGAACCTTCAATACGAACGTAAAAACAGTTCTACTGTATGGAGCTGAAACTTGGAGAACTACAACAACCACCATCAAGAAGGTACAAGTATTTATAAATAGCTGCCTTTGCAAGATACTCAACATCCGTTGGCCGGATGCCATCAGCAATAGCCTTCTGTGGGAGAGAACAAATCAGCTTCCTGCTGAAGAAGAAATTAGGAAGAGACGATGGACGTGGATAGGGCATACATTACGCAAATCGTCAAACTGCATCACGAGGCAAGCGTTAACTTGGAATCCTGAAGGGAAGCAAAAAAGAGGAAGGGCAAAGAACACATTACATCGGGTAATAGAAGCAGATATGAAAAGGATGAATAGGAACTGAAAGGAGCTGGAAAGTATTGCCTAGGACAGGGTTGGATGGAGAATGCTGGTGATCGGCCTATGCTCCTTCACGAGAAGTAACAGGCGGGAGTAATTAAGTACTACTCCAAACATTTAGCCTACAATACACTCATTATTAGTAGTCTAGGTTACAAAACACCATAGATGATTGTTCAATTCGAGTTTTCTACTTGCTTGTTGGAATAAACAACCTAATGTGAAAACTTTGATTGTTTCCAGCACAAATTAACATCAGCCTTAATGCTAAAAATTGTATTTAGCCAAATGACTGAATGAATTTCACGCCGTAATTCAAGATCCGTGATTTTAAATGTGATTGGTTCATCCATAAAGTGATAGTTTCACTGAATTTTATTCTCTTTATTCCTTTCTTAACTGACGATCAAACAATAAGAATTGTCTCTAGTTTCAGGTAGACAGTTTGAAGTACTGAACATGTATAGGTCATTTCAGCTGGTATGAATATTATGTTTAGATTAAATTTCGAAACTCACTGGAATTCAACTTATATAATGAATTTAACTGCAGGTCCTAGGTTGGAGTCTTGCGCACGGGCTCGTGCATGTACACCTTTGAGATGTTCCATACCGGAAAGAAACGGCCTTTTCCTGCTTTCAGGCTTACAATGAATGTCTTACACTGACCAATTCATGATTTCATTGAAATTCAACCGTTTCCGCAACCTCATTCTATAACTTCACGTCAATGTTTGTAATGCCAGATAATTTTTTTTCGAAGAGTATAGTTGGTACTAAGCATTAATCATCATTAAACAAGTTTAAATATAGCTGTATTAAATAAATATCAATCATTGACAAATCATCAGTTAGTTTATAAACTGTGATTCCGGTGTATGCTACTGATTTCAACGGATATAATTAGTATAAATCATCAACCTAAAGCGAAATGTCTGGCTTTAGAAGTTTGACAAGATCAAAGAACGAGAACAAAGAATAATTGCTATAGAAACAAAAGAACAATAAACTCTGAGACGATGCATTGACATTTTGTCAATGAAGTGTTTACTGAAGGAAAAGCATTATTAAGCAAAAATGGATAGTTGCAAGTAGTGGAATCCAGTTTGACGTGCGTTTCGTTTAATTTGATACTCGTCAGCTGGATGTCGGTAGGTCTGGGATGCAGGTGCATCCAGCTGACAAGTCCCAAATAAGACGAAACGCGCGTCAAACTAGATTCCACCACACTCACCACTATCCATATTTGTTTAAAATAAAGCTTGTCACTTAAGGCAATATCTAGGCGAACCGCACATTATGCACATATGCCAACATGAGACTGATCATTTGTAGACCTTAACAACAATCGGAAGATACAAGTAAAACAACAACAAGTGAATTTAAGAAAACATTATTATTATTATTATTGTTCTTGATAAAGGAATTCACTTCATTTGATAACAATACATTAAGAGTAATGATGAAATAGTTTTATCCAAATATAATTAACTGACAAACCAATCACTGAAAGACCAAACATGACATAATTCTTAGTGATCATAATAATTATAAGAAAAATACATTACAATAACACAATGGTTCATGGGATGTAAATAATCAGTTCTTCATTCCCATATTGGATCATTGTATTGAGAAGAATCTTGTAATACAATGTTACTTTGAACCTAATTGAATGTAATGTGTCATTGCATGCTGCTCATTATGTTCGTTAAAAAAAGGCAGCACTGGGAAGTTTACACTACTAGATACAAGTATAGAGTGAAGTACATTTCTAAGATGAATGATCTATTCAAAACATTTGGAATAAGACAATGAATAAATTTTTGACTCAGATCATTAACCTATTGATGTTAGATCACCATTAAAAACCTGGAAGTTGAATCTCAAGAGGTTAAGCGTTCGTGAGCGGGACTGAAGGTCCTGGATTCGAATCCTGCGAGTAGAATCGTGGATACACACTGCCGGAGAGTCCGACAAGACGACGAAACGGTCGTCCAGTGCTTTCAAGTTTTCAGTGGTGGTCTAACATACATCGGTTCATGACCTCAATAAGAACTAAAAATTGCATAACTGATTTGCAAGTTTCTATCATTTATCCTTCATATTCTATATGATTCTTTCAGTCTACAATTCTTTTCTATTTTTCCCTTTCAATTCTCTTCAACTCAATCTTTTTAGTCTTTTGTTGCCAGGTTTTCCATTTCTGACTGATATAACATACTACTTAACTCCGCCTGTAGCTCTTCTAAAGTTACTTCCGGTCACAAGCCCGGGTAAAGAGGAGGGTTTAGCATGGGGTTAGCATCCCCATCCCGTAGAAAACTAACTCGCTAAAAAACGCTTACCAGAAAAAATAGTTCAAACCATTTTAACTCTGCCCTGGGAGTTAGAAGGTCTTCATTTAGAAAAAATATGGCGCCTCATGGTGAAAGCCGAGTCACTTCGGAAGCCACGAGGCCGATGCCCCTTCTAACAACCAGATTAAACATTTTGGTAGGTACATGGAACGTCCGAAGAATGTGGGAGATCGGGAAGACCAGTCAAATAGAAACGGAAATGAGGAGATACAGCTAAGCAGTACTGGGAATCAGCGAAACCTATTGCACACAAGCTGGACAACAAAGGCTAAATAAGGGAGAGATGCTGCTACACTCCGTTCACGAAGGGAAAAATGCTCTACACACTCAGGGAGTTGCTTCGATTCTGTCCAAGCAAGCACGAAATGCACTTATAGAATGAGAATCTCATGGATACAGAATCATTAAAGCATCATTCAAAACAAAGATGGAGGGGACCACAATGAATATTATCCAATGTTATGTACCCACCAGCGATAGAAACGACGACATTATAGATCAATTTTACGAGTGGCTGCAGTCAACCTTAGAGAAGTGCCGCAGGAACAACCTCATCATTCCGATGTGAGATCTGAATGCCAAATATATGAAGATATCATGGGACAACATGGACTGAATGAGAGGAACGGAAATGGTGGAAGACTTGCAAATCTGTGTGCATTCAACATGTTGGACATAGGAAGCACAATATTTCCACACAAACGTATTCAGAAAGTTACATGAATGTCATCGGACTACACTAAAGAGAACCAGATAGATCATATTTGCATCAACAAAAAATTCCGAACGACAAACAAAGATGTGAGAGCCAGGAGAGAAGCTCACATAGCTTCAGATCACCATCTAGTCGCGGCCAATTTAAAATAGAAGCTAAAAAAGAACTGGACAACTGAACAAACAGCAATACAAAGGTTCATTACAGCCTTCTTTCGAGATACTGACAAGTTCAATGAATTCAAGATAGGTCTCAACAACAGATTGCAAACTTTACAGGATCTACTGAAGGAAGAAGAAAATACTATGGAGGACAACTGGAAAGGTATCAAAGAAACATTAACTTCAACGTGTCAAGGGGTTCTGGGCCTAAAGAAGCATCATTATAAGGAATGGATCTCTATAGAAACTCTGGAGAAGATCAAAGAAAGGAAGACCAATAAGACAGAAATTAACAACACACGAACACGAGCAGAGAAAGTCCAAGCACAAGCTGAATACATAGAAGCAAACAAGTAAGTGAAGAGGAGCATTAGAGCCGACAAGAAGAAATACGTGGAAGAACTAGCAAAGACGGCGGAAAAAGCTGCTAGAGAAGGAAATATGAAACAGCTTCACGATTAAACGAAGAAACTAGCAGGAAAATACAGTAAACCAGAGAGACCGGTCAAAGACAAAAAAGGCAAGCCAACCACTGAAATTCAACAACAGCGGAACAGCTGGTTAGAATAATCCGAGGAATTCCTGAATAGGCCGGCTCCAATGAATCCACTGGACATCGAAGCGGCACACACAGATCTTCCCATAGACGTCAACCCACCAACGAAGGAAGAAATCAGAATGGCCATCAGACAAATCAAGAACGGGATAGCAGCTTGACCCGACAATATACCAGCTGAAGCACTGAAGTCAGACATCGGAGTAACTACAAGCATGCTTTACCTTCTATTCAAAAAAATTTGGCAGGAGGATCAAGTGTAGATGAACTGGAAAGAATGGCACCTCGTCAAGATTCCAAAGAAAGGCGATCTGAGCAAACGTGAAGACTACAGGGGCATTACACTGCTGTCAATACCAGGAAAGGTCTTCAACAGAGTGTTGCTGAACCGGATGAAAGATGCAGTAGACGCCCAACTTTGAGATCAACAAGCTGGATTCCGTAAGGATCGATCGTGCACAGACCAAATCGCAACACTACGGATCATCGTCGAACAATCAGTTGAGTGGAACTCATCACTATACATCAATTTCATTGATTATGAAAAAGCATTCTACAGTGTAGATAGGAGGACATTATGTAAACTTCTTCGACACTACGGAGTTCCTGAGAAGATTTTCAATATTATCCGGAACTCATACGACGGACTACAGTGCAAAGTCGTGCATGGAGGACAGCTGACAGCAGATGCATTCCAAGTAAGGACCGGAGTCAGAAAAGGCTGTCTATTCTCACCCTTCCTCTTTCTTCTGGTGATCGATTGGATTATAAAGATCTCGACATCTAAGGGAAAACAAGGAATACAATGGACAGCTGAGAATCGATGAGATGGTTAGAACTTCGCAGATGACATAGTCCTCCATCCCATACACACGAACAAATGCAGAAAAAGACAGCCAATGTGGCAGCAGTCTTTGCATCAGTCAGCCTCAACATACACAACGAGAAAACCAAGGTCCTCAAATTGAAAACGGAGAACAGCAATCCAATCACTATTGATGGAAAAACTCTGGAAGATGTAGAATCCTTCACATACCTGGGAATTATCGTTGATGAACAAGGAGGTTCAGATGCAGACGTAACGGATGGGATTGGAAAATCAAGGACAGCATTCCCAAAATTGAAAAACACATGGAACTCAAAACAACTCTCAACCAATATTAAAGTGAGAATCTTCAATACGAATGTAAAAACAGTTCTACTGTATGGAGCTGAAACTTGGAGAACTACAACAACCACCATCAAGAAGGTACAAGTATTTATAAATAGCTGCCTTTGCAAGATACTCAACATCCGTTGGCCGGATGCCATCAGCAATAGCCTTCTGTAGGAGAGAACAAACCAGATTCCTGCTGAAGAAGAAATTAGGAAGAGACGATGGACGTGGATAGAACATACATTACGCAAATCGTCAAACTGCATCACGAGGCTAGCCTCAACTTGGAATCCTGAAGGGAAGCGGAAAAGAGGAAGGCCAAAGAACACATTACATCGGGTAATAGAAGCAGATATGAAAAGGATGAATAGGAAGTGAAACGAGCTGGAAAGGATTGCCTAGGACAGGGTTGGATGGAGAATGCTGGTGAGCGGCCTATGCTCCTTCACGAGGAGTAACAGGCGTAAGTAAGTAAATACATACTACTTATATCTTATATAAGTAGCATACATTACAATACATAATTCCTTTCCTGAACAAAACAAAATATTTCAGAATAGTTTATCTTTTTGAAGTGGTTATAACAATAAATATAAGTTTTTTTCTTTGTTACTATGTAAATAACTTACATCATATTTGAAAATTTGCTGATTTTTATAAAATAGAAAAAGCTTTTTCAAATTATTACAACATTCACCAATGTATCAATGTTTTAATGATATGAAAAGCTTGAAGCAGTGGATGATTGTTTCGCCTTAGTATGGGACATCTTAGTAGTGTGTATCTACGATCCGAAACCAAAGTGACCACGGACCTTTCGGTTTCGAGCGCGGATGCTTAACTTCTAGATCACTGAGCTGATCGGAATTCAACGGTGTTAATGTCTAACTTTATTTGACTCATGAGTTTAACTACTAGGTTACGACGATCTCCAAAAAACCCCTTCCTGATAATATCTGTAAATTTTATGTATAAGTTATAAGTTGTTATTTCGCACATTAAGCCTTGAATCTATTTACTAATTGTGGGGCTCCATACTTCATTCTTACTTCGTTTCCACACCAATCATTCTCTGTTTTCTTTCTCTTCTCTTAGAATTTTTATCGCCAGACATTTCACCTTCGACTAATGATATATACTACTTATATCTACGGACATCAGTAGCACACACCACACCATAAATATATATATAAATTGATTGATGGATTATGACAATCATATGTCATTGATGAATTTCCGTGCTTTTTAATTAATGAGACAACCAGTTTATAAATGAATCTAATATGGACATGAATATTTGTTGCCATTTTTTAGGTAATATTCCATATTATTACAAATAAGTATAATTATACAATTTAAGAGTTAAGACTGAAACTGGAGTTCCTGTGTTCGAATCTCACATAAGAGATCTTGGATGCTGACTGTTCAGAAGTTTTATACTAGCATGAAACGGCCATCCAATACTTGTAGGTTTCTTATGGTAGCGTAACATTAATCCATTCATCATCTCAATCAAAAACTCAGCTGTTTCTACAACACCATTTTAAGAAAGTTATAACTTACCAAATGATATTAGGTTGCTTAGAACATTCTATACATTTGATCAACATCATAAAAGTAACTGAATTTATTGTTCAGCAAATATATTTAATAAAACTATTATTATTTAAAAACGAGTGGAGTATAACTCGTTTTGTGATTAAGATGTTAGACCACCGTTGTGAAACCTGGAAGCACTGGACGGCCATTTGGTCCTATTGTGAGACTTCTCATCAGTGCGCGTCCACGATCCCACCTCGCGAGATTCTAAATCAGGACCTACTGGACCACTGAGCCGGCATCCGATTGTGTTAGTGTCTAACATCAACCAATCCACGAAATCGCCTGACCATCTTCCATTGTACTGAGGTAGATACCTATCTCTACCCGACACGGACTAGCTCCACAGATCATGAACACGAGTGGGTTCAATCGAATGTATTTGAGCCCACACTTACAGAGCATCTTAATAACATCTGGAAATCATACCGTAAATAGTTAATTTGCAAAATATCAATCCATCGTCTCAAACTTGACTGTTCCTTTTGCAAATATCAGTCTATGTCTCAGAAATTATAATTCATGCATTTCATACCAATTGCGTTGCGTTCCCGTTTTTTCCCTCTCGATCTTTCACTGAACAACATTCCATGCCTGAACACCGTTATATACTACCTATGTGGATATATGTAGCCCACACCACAGTTTGATCAATGTAGTTATTCAGTAATAATGTGTAATATGGAGTTCATTCAACTTCATTGACTAAGTTACTGTTATTCTATCAATTAATATTAACTTCATTCAATATATTTCAAGGGATAATAGTGAATAATCTATTAGGTATTTTCTATAATAAAATAAACACTATCCTTCTATTGATACGCTTACTTAAATCATTCGATGGTTTTTAATAATCAGATATCTGATTCCATTTAGATCATTTACTACATGTTATCGAAACATACATGTAATCGATACTCCCATATAATTATCTATTTAACTCGCATTAGAGTAATGAAATCCAGATTGATCGTTTCAGTCTATATAGTATTTTTCATATGAATGTATCCACATCCAATTGGCAGTTCATCATAAGATTTGTATTCATCACCTTTAACTTCATTCATTGAACTATAATGGATACAATTGATAGTTTCATTCAACTAACTAGTCTCATTTAAAATGAAATAAACATCTTTGATTTCTTTACTAGTGACAGTTGAAATGTTCTTTTTAACGTTAATGATCATCTTTAGATATATGGAACATACAATGTAAATTGAATATAATCATATTCATTCATATAGTGAAATCACAATTCGATATAAGTAGTATTAACACATTAGTTTATACTTACTCTTCGGATCTTTGTTTTATAGAAATGAAAGACAATTCCAATGGAATTCATACATTATATATTTATGTATACTTTATTATGGTAAACAATATCAAAGTAAAATCATACTGGTTAAAGCTATTTGTTAATGAAGTTTGGTATACATTACTCAAAGGGCATTTCAGTACATTGATTTTTGAATAGTTACCAAGTGTTATAATATCTGATCATGTGCACTATTGAAATATAACGTAATGACAGCGCCAATTAGAATACAACGACTTATCGGCTAGACTAATGATGTATATACCTGTAAAAGCAGTCTACTGTCCTTCTCGAACCTTCTTCTTGTCCAGCTTTGACTGTTAAGTCCAGAACACCAATCTCATCCTCTGCAATATGAATCATGTATTTCAAACATACGGAGTTTATATACCAATCAAACAGACCTCAACGTACCATAAAATAAAAAACAAGATTTTATCAAGATTTCGTCAAAAGTGACTGTGAATGTGGAAGACTGTAATGAATAGATTGGGCATAATTCAAGGATGGTAAAACGTATAATAATATTTCATAGGTCAAAATCAAGCTCATAATAAAAAAGACATGAACAGGAATAGTTTGGTTACTTAACTATTACATAAGAAAAATATATGCATAGTATTACTCCATAAATATATTCCATCAGTTACTATTCATTCGTCTCATTGGCATATAATACAAAGATGTTACTTCCGTTTTATCGAGTATATTGTTCACCGTAAGAATGTGATATGTCCGTTGTTACCAAAAATATGCTCGATTGATTTGATAAGAATACTTTGATCATTCACCTGAAGAATCTCTGCTAACATTGAACATGGTGTTTATTATTCTAAATGATTATTAATCTCATGAGTAAATTGAATGAACTTTCACAAAGCACAACTAAGTTCGAATTTTAGTTTATGCCTAAAACTGTTTATCATGAAGACTTCGAATCTTTGTGGCCTTTGATTAACTGACTCTTATTTGATTGCATGTTGATGGACTGTCAAAATATACATATACTCGATACCTGGATACATAATCATCGACTTAAATCATGTTGGTGAATAACACAATGAAATAAGTTAAATACGAGAATGGATCTTGGAATACGATTACTTAATACAATTGTTGATCGAAAGTTGATTCAAAACAAAGTTTCTCACAATGAAGCAGGAAAGTAAGCCCTCTCCGTTTACATTTAAACATAACTCAGTTAAAGACAAGTAGTGAATAGGATAAGCAAGTAATACACATACGATCATATAAAAACAGATGGGGTCAATAAGCTAAACAGTGACAAGGCAAAAACATGGCTTGACAAGAATGAACAAGTTGATGTGTTCAAAGACTAGAATAACCTATATGGTCCAACATAAAGATAACCATTACAAAATCCAAACCTAACTACCGGTTTATTCTGTAGATATACATTATTTATAATAGTGCTCTAGAGTACAAGAAGAAGAAAGCGGACAATCAAATGTATTTGGACACAAAATCACATCAATTGCGTTTTGTATACGTGCTTTCCTTCTCGATGTTCTACTGAAATACATTTTATCCGACATTATTGTTATATACTACTAATGTGAATATAAGTAGGTCACATCACACTACTATTAGAACATTAAACGAACTACTACTACTACTGAATGGTTGATACTTTAAAAAAATAAGCATTTACTTACCTAAAAATTCTGCTTTATCCATTAATGAAAATAAATGATCCCTAAAATGTAATAATGATAACATTTTTGAGATCCATGTAGAAACATTCATTCAAGACTAAATATATATCATTTAACAATATTGGTAAAATTGTCTTTGAAATCATAACTGTATTAATATCAACTTTAATGTTTTTTAGTTATCAGAATGAGGATTTGTTGAGAATGTGATACTTTTAATAATTGAATTCATGAGTTAGACCACCAGTGAAAACCTGGATGTACTGAAAGGTCTTTTCATCTTTGAATGGGATTCTTGATCAGTGTACATCTACGATCCTTTACACGAGATTAAAATCTAGGATGTCTCCTGCTGTAGAGTCCTATAATAATATGATACAGCAGTCTAGTCATTCTAGGTTTGTGATGGTAGTCTAACATTGATGAAATCATGATTTCAATCAAAAACCTAACAATCTCTACAACCATGAACTGATAATTTACATATACTCATTATGGACTAGTTTCAAAATGGATTACCTGAATTTCTAGTAAGACGTGGAAACTAGTGGAATTCATCCGTGTCCGCTATGAGGCACTTAATCACTAAAGACAATGTTTGACGGTCGAGCAACATCAATAAAATCCAATGTCAAAAATTATAAAATACACAACATACATAATGTGAAAATACAATTACTTACAACCACAGTTGACCCCTGAAATATAGAAACAACAAAATGTAGGAAAAAATATTACCAGTGATCTTCTTGGAGTTAAAAATGAGAAAAGATATATGTGGAATCTGAAAGTGTTGTGCATGAACTCATTATCTACGGAACGCATTATTTACTCTGTGACTAAACTTGTTATCAAAGTGGGGGTTTATGGAGATTTTGATAGTTTAATAATTAAATCCATGAGTTCAGTGCTTTCAGATTTTTCATTGCAATCTAGCTTCAATTAAACTATGAATTCAGCTATAAAACTACTGAAAGTTCCGCAAAATGCTTTCTGATAAAAATCATCATGCGCTCACTGGTGATTGACTTCAAGAGTTATTTCCTGGAGTTTTGGTGAGAATCGCTGATTAGTGGAGTTCAACCGCGTCTGTTATGAGATTGTGACTCACTGAAGACAATGATGGATGATGTCTCAATTTCATGGATTGGTTGAAGTTAGACATTAACACTGTAGGATGCCGACCAGCTCAGTGGTCTAGAAGTTAATGACTGACGTCAAGGATCAAAGTTCCTAAATTCGAATGCCGTGGAACGTGATCGTAGGTAAATATCACTGAGGATGAGACGGTCGTCCAGTGATCCAAATTTTTCATGGAGTTCTAGCTTTAATCAACTCATCAACTAATCTATTAAATGAGTGAACTTGTATTTCAATACATTCATTCAGAGTAAACTTACTTATTGAGTCTGGTCATATTGGATGAACTTGTTGGTTTCGATACTGGAAAATTCAAAGTATGGTAAACATATTCAGTATGATTTATGCAAAGATACAAATGAACTTTTTACTGGTCAGATTTATGAACAGAAGACAAGTTTGATACTATAAAACTTCAAAGATAATAATTCCACCTTACTTGTAGTCGTTTCATTGCTGTTAGATGGTTTTGAATCATTGTGGTCAATAAAAAATAACACGATTATGAATAAACGAATCAACATTTTATTAAGTTACTTCATTGAATTTGCATTCATTTATATACCGGCTTATTGTAGTTTACTTAGACAACTTGAGGTATGTTACATGTTAATGTAAACATAATGTTTCATTGGTTTTAACTAAAGTTAATTCTATATTAGGTTGTTATATGAATTCCATGTCAACAAATGTTCTTTTCTCATTAAACAAATAGCGAGATTGAAGTTTGTGAAATATATAGTGAATTGATTAAATTTGGATATTAACACTGTTGGATATCGATTCAAGATAGATTGCGCTCAAGATTAAAGGTTTTCAGTTTTGATCCTACCTGTGGCGTCAGGGATTAACATTGCCGTTGAGTCCCAGACTGTGATAGAACCACTCTTCCAGTGACACTTTGGTTTTAGTAGTGATCCAAGGTTAAATCAATTCATGAATTTTAGAGTTCAAGATCTTAATATGATTACATAAACTAATGAAAATTCCACTGTGTATTTGCCTATGAATGAATTCGTCAAAAGTTATTAATTATAAGTCAGGAATATACAAGAACCAAATTATCAGTCGTAACAAGAAGACATGTATTATAGATAATTATTTCGTAACTAACTTCAAGATTGGACTCATAGAGTTCTGGAGAAAACCCGTGATCAGTAATATTCAATCCGTGTTGAGTATGAGATAGTGATCTACTCCAAGCAATCGTCGAATGTTTGCTGAAGATTATAGATTGATTGAAATTAGACATAAACACCGTTGGATGCCAATACAGTGGTACAGATGTTCAGTGTTCGTGAACGAGATAGAAGTTTGAGGTTCGATTTAGGAGTACGAAAATATGGATAACCACTATTAAGCTGTTCCATACTGGAACGTAATCCAAGTTACATACAGTGGTAGACTCCTAAGATTTGTGGCTTATGGATTAGGTATTGAAAAATACCTCCAAGTCTCAACGTCTTATGGAATGCATAACTGAAAACTTTATAACAACGAATCACGTATTTCGATGTACAAATTTTGTGTTCGACCACTCCTAGAACACTGCATGTTCATCCTCAGTGATGTGCGTATAAAGGATAAATTTATGTTAGAATCAGCACAGAAGCTTCTCTCTAGAAGGGTCTCCCCAATATTAGGCCTGCTTACACTACGACAGTGTTGGCCATCTTGTGCGACGTTTGGATGGAGTGTGCCCATATAACTTCCTCTAGGATTTGTAGAGAAAAAAATGTATCGGGAAGTATATTTTTGCGTGGTAAAACGATTGTCATATATTTGTTATTAGGTCTGGAACCAGACGGTTTTGTATATACATCAACCTTCAGATTCCTTCAGCTGTTCAGCAAATGAATGAGAATGGAATCTGAACAAGGTAGGACTCAAGTATTTTTTATTCTTTTTATTGAGGAAAATAAATTGACCTAGACTTTCTTGAAGGTGAGCTGTTCTCAACATCGAGTTCCTTACTGATTCAAGGGGCGATTTTGTCAAATATGTTATAAATAATCACGTTATTTCGAGAGATCTTTTAATTAGCAACTTCACTAGCGATATATTTGATAACAGATTCAACTTCAATAGTGTCTTCAATTTTCACAGGAACCATATCTTTCGACAATGGCAGTTTGCGAAGTGGGGGTGTCTTTAGTTCTTACCTAAGATCATCGTTCTTTAATAAAGAGCCGGCAAGTGACTCCGCACTGAAACGCGTGTCGCTTAATTGCTCATAGATATTGTCCCACTCACTCTTAAAATTATCGATAATTTTTGATTATTATGTAGAACCTGTTGTTAAATTAGAATCTGAGTCATCTAGCAGCAGGTGTGGATTATATCCACTTCTCATTCAGCAAAGTTGTGTGATATGAGATTAGATTACACGAGGAGTATTTTTTGTTTTTTTAAAAGTGAGAGTGAGCGTCAATAAGTTATAAGAACCACCAAGAAACTGGTCTTCACGAATTTTCGCCGACACATTGCAAACATCAAACATTGTCTAAATCAGTCAATCAATCTCATTATTAAACATCAATTATCTATCTATCCAGGTCATTGGCCATCGGTAATGTATCTGTGACAGTGATTGATATAAAACCATACACAGAACATAATGTAGACTTTGCTATCAAGATGATTGACAACACTCTTATAAGTCAATATACATCAAGTTTAGTGATAGTAGTTCCTTAGATAGAAAAACATATGAAAACCTGTGAAAACGATAACTTTACTCATTTGAAATAAAGTGGTAAATATTTACAATGTTTATTCATAGCTAAATCAAGATCTTCTATGAATTGACGAACATGCTATGTATTTCCATTTCATCTTCTCTCTTTAACAAAAGTAATACTCAAAGATGGATAGTGGCTAGCAGTGGAATCCAGGACGCGCGTTTCGTCCTGTTTGGGACTCGTCAACTGGATGTGCCTGCATCTCAGAGTTGATGTACACTCTGGGACTCGAACTCAGTACCGTTCGCTTCAAACGCCATCGCGTTATCCACTTAGCTAAAAAAAACATCAATGGGAAGATTCAAGTAAAAACAATATCAAGTGAATTAAAAGTAATATTCATTTGTAAAATGAAAATTTCATTCAACTTTGTTCCGTGTGAGTATTTGACTGTGAGTCATATGAAAACATCATTAGTAAGCCAAATTCCTTACTGTATTTCAAATTTATAAAAGGCTCATTATACAATAGAGAATATCATATTACTTGATTCATAATATAAAATATAGTGATCAACAACAAGAAAGTACAATAATTGACATTGCTACAAACAACAGCTGAGGTCAATGGATTGACGTTTTTTTTAAAATCACACTCTCAGATCTTGTTCACCATTATTATCATTATTGTAACGTTGAGAGAAATATTTCATATGTGAATTTGCATATTAGATTAGATGTAGTCATATAATAGATGTAATAAATAAAAAATAATGCTAAAACATAGGACTAGGCACATTGGTCAAAGTTACCATACCTCACTAAAACAACAAGATGGATACCGGATTCATAAAATTAGTTTATTATTATTTTCAATGGTGGTCTAGCTTCAACTGACTCATGATTTCTATCTGTGAAATTTCTAAAATCTCCACAAAACCCATTCTGATAATAATAATCACCTGCTCACTAGTGACTGACTTCAGAAGATACTTCTGGAGTTCTAGTGAGAAGTCGTTACCAGTGGAGTTCAACCAGGTCTGTTGTGAGATAGGAACTCACTGAGGACAATGGTGTACGGTAGCGCAACTTCGTGGATTGGTTGAAGTTAGACATTAACACCGTTGGATGCCCGCTCAGTGGTCTAATGGTTAAGTGCTCGCGCGCGAAGCCAGTAGGTCCTGGGTTTGAGCCCCGGGTGTTGCGGGATCGTGGATGCGCACTGCTGAGGAGTCCCATACTAGGACGAAACGGCCGTCCAGTGCTTCCAGGTTTTCAATGGTGGTCTAGCTTCAACTGACTCATGATTTCTATCTGTGAAATTTCTAAAATCTCCACAAAACCCATTCTGATAATAATAATCACCTGCTCACTAGTGACTGACTTCAGAAGATACTTCTGGAGTTCTAGTGAGAAGTCGTTACCAGTGGAGTTCAACCAGGTCTGTTGTGAGATAGTAACTCACTGAGGACAATGGTGTACGGTAGCGCAACTTCGTGGATTGGTTGAAGTTAGACATTAACACCGTTGGATGCCCGCTCAGTGGTCTAATGGTTAAGTGCTCGCGCGCGAAGCCAGTAGGTCCTGGGTTTGAGCCCCGGGTGTTGCGGGATCGTGGATGCGCACTGCTGAGGAGTCCCATACTAGGACGAAACGGCCGTCCAGTGCTTCCAGGTTTTCAATGGTGGTCTAGCTTCAACTGACTCATGATTTCTATCTGTGATATTATTATTATTGTTAATGTCTTTATTCAGTCATATATTTTGATTCAGAGGTGGCAATGTATACAAGAAATATTGCAATTAAGGATATAGTACAGGAAGGAAGATTTAGTTCGTAGAAAGAAAGATATGAAGTGATTTTAATCTCTTAGTTTAAGGGAAGACAAAGAATGTATACACCCACGCCATTGTGATCGATTCTGAGCCATGTCACACGGAGTCTCCAACCATTGGTTACGATAGTCACGTGAACCTCAACCAAGTGGTCTGCATCTATCAACATGGCTCAGACCAGAAGTTAGTGACTTCAAGCACTGATGCCACGTTTTGGTTTGGTCGCCCTTAACTTTCTTCCAATCATATACAAGCACTGACTGAACCACTGAATTGCAGTACTCAGTGTTAACAGTTTCGAGAGGATGAAAGTAGTACATGTTATGTTCACGTAAAACAAATATAGTTTATCAAGGATTTTCTTCCTGTTAGACAATGATTTTTTTCCAAATCATTTCAACGATACTTACAGGTTGTTGTCAAACATATTATGGTGTCTAGTAAAATAAAAATGGTAATGATGAGTGTCCAGTTGATCAAAATAGAGAAGACAAAATACAAAGAAGTTAATCAACAAACAATCAATGATAATCATTATGGATCTGAAAACATTCATCACTGTCTTTATGTTTATCACTAATGAGCATTAAAATGAATGTGGATGTTTCAGTAAAGAAAATGTTTTTTTTCTTGACAATATCAACTTGTGAAGCTGTACAATCGTATTTATAGTTGACTTACTAAGCAACTAGTAGTCTGTTGTAAACTACAATAATTTTTACAATATTCTTGAATTAGTGAATGTGAATAAGATTGGACACAATCGAATGTATGTGAATATGAAATTCTAGAATATTTTAGTAAAATCTGAGTACGATACAGTAAATACTTCATTTTCAAAATGTTTTGTGGAGATTTTAGAAATTTACTGATTGAAATCATGAATTAGTTGAAGCTGAACCACCATGGAAAATCTAGAATTACTGGGCGGCCATTTCTTATTAGCACTGCACATCCACGACTCCGCTCCTCGAGAGATTTGAACCCAGGACCCAGCAGCCTCGCGCCA